GTTTTGCTCAGTTGACCCTTTGATCATGCGATAGTGTCCTTCTTTATCTCTTATGGTGGTTTTTGCCTTAAAGTTTATTATATCCAAGATCAGTATTGCCACTCCTGCTTGTTTTTTATTGCTGTTAGCTTGGTATATTTTTTTCCATCCTTTAACTTTTAGTTTGTTTTTGTCTTTGTGTGTAAGGTGTGTCTCTTGCAAGCAGCATATTGAAGGGTGTTGTTTTCTTATCCATTCAATTACTCTCTCTCTCTTCACTGGTGCATTTAATCCATTGACATTTAGTGTAATTATCACTAGGTATGGATTAACTGTTAATTTTTCATGGTGATGTTTGTTCCTTTGTTCTGCATCCTTTCTTGTGCTGAGTTCATGTTTTTTTTTGTGTGTGCTAATTATTGTCAGTTTCTTCTTAGTTTTAATGTTTCCTTGTTCTACTTGGATCTTCATTTTCATGGTAAATTGTGAAGTATTAATTTTCTTTGGGGTTACCCTGTAGAACCAGTCTACAAAACTGTTTGAACTACAAGGCTGATGGTTCAAGCTCACCAGTCACTCCTTGGGAACCGTATAAAGAGTCGCTATGGGTTGGAACCGACTTGACGGCACTTAACAACAACAACAACAACAACATAGTCTATTAAGATTTCCCTGTGTTTAAGACATTCTATTGTATCGTGCAATCTACTTGACCTCCTCAACACCTGGATATCTGTTCATATATTTTTCCCTGTTTTGACATTGTTAATATTTTCATCTTTGGTTGGCCTCACAGGTCCTCTGAATTCATTGCTGTAATTTTATTCTGTTCTGAACTCTTCTGTCTGTCACTGAGTTACAGATGGTGCTGCCATGTCTGTCAATCTCTGGTTGTTGTCTGTTCATGCTGACTTTTATTCCAAAGAACTTTGTTTAGGTTGTTTTGATGTGCTGAATTGGCTTTGACAAAATCTCTTAGCTTCTGTTTATCTTGGAATGTTTGGACTGCACCATTGTATTTGAGTGACAGTTTTGCTGGATAGACAATTCTTGATTGGCAGTTTTTTCTTTTAGGGTTTTATATATGTCTCCCCATTGCCTTCTTGCCTGCATGGTTTCTGCTGAGAAATCAGAGCATAATCTGATTTGCTTGCCTTTGTAGGTACCACTTCTCTTCTCCCTGGCCTCTTTTAGGATTCTCTCTTTATCTTTGACTTTGGAGAGCTTGATTGTGCTATGTCTCGGTGGTTTTCTTTTGGGGTCTATCCTTCCTGGGGTTCATTCAGCTTCTTGAATGTTTATCTTCTCATCCTTCAAGATGTTAGGAAAATTTTCTGCCAGAAGCTCTTCACCCATCTCTTCTGTGGACTTCTGTGATTCTTCCTGTTCTGGAATGCCAATAATTCTTAAGTTATTCCTCTTCATGTTATCCAGCAGGAATCTTTGACTCTCTTCAGATTTTTTCTGCTTGCTCTTCTATCTTAGCAATATTGAGATATTTGTCTTCTAGCTCGCTGGTTCTGGCTTCCATCTCTTCAATTCCACTCCTTTGCCCTTTCAGTGTATTTTCCATTTCTGATATTTTATGATTAATCATATGGATTTCTTTTTGAAGATTTTGGATTGTTTCCAATGCTGTATCTATCTTGTTTGATTGCTCCTGTAGCACTTTCCTGACTTCTTTATTTTCCTCCACCCCTTTTCAGAGCATTTGAATTTGTTTCCATATAATTCTTCTGAATTCCTTCTCAGGCAGCTTCAGACCCTGCTCTTCTACTGGGAACTCTGGTGTCTGCTTCCAGCTCATTTGTTTCAGTTACTTTTTTCTGTTTTGGGACATGTGTTGAGATTTTTAATTGTGTTTTCTTGGACATTTTCAGTAGTTAAGTGGGTTTTTAATGCTTAAATGGATGTATATTACTGTGTTGTTAAGCTTACTGAACATCTCCTGGTAGATATTATCTGGAGCTAGACTTCCATTTTCACATGTAATGCCTAGCAGCTACTATTGGCTAGTGTCCAGATGGTGGAATATTACAGGGTATGCTTGTAGCTTGGCTATATGAACACAGTCGCTGTCTCTTCTTGATTAAGGTAGGGATAATAAGCTCCCACCCCTGGGAAAAGAGTGAGGCCAAAAGGACCAAAGACAGAAACAATATTAAACGGAGACAGAAGCTACCAATCTAAAACAAAAATAAAATCATAGTTGACTGTCCAGTGACTTTTGCTATGCAGGCAGGGATAAAGGGTCCCATCCAGGTTAACTTTGGGGCTGGGTCCCAGAGGCAGACATCATAAGAAGCAGCTTGCAGGACCAATGGGGTTCTCAGGAACCTCTTATCTGTGCCATGAGAAAACTGTGGGTGCAATGCTGGACCTCTTTGGGGGTGTGCTCCTGCCCACCTGGAGGCATCTGAGCTGGGCAGTGAGGACATGATTGGAGTGAAGAGGAAAGATACATGAAAAATGAAAAGTGAAAGATGAAAAATCGGTCACACCTCTTGCTCCAGACACACAGTTCCGTGGCTTCTAGTGCTGGGTCACTGCCTCCGCTTGCCTGTGGCCCCACCCTCCAACCTCAGGACCTCTGGCCTCCTGGATCGATTCAGAAATCAGGATTGATTTAGAAATTGCCATATTTTGCTTCCACAGGCAGATTTCTCTACAAGTGGGCACAGGAAACTGGTGCCCAGAGCCTTATACAAGATCCAAAATTCTGCTGCGGTTCCACAGACTTTTTCTGTATATTTTACAAAGGAGCTTTTACTATCTGTGTCTGCTTGACTGCCTCCAATCTGGTAGTCGCTCTCATTTGATTTTTTGACTGCTGCTTCCATGAGCAGTGATTGTGAATCCAAGCAATATGATGTCATTGACAACTTTTATCATGTTAGTTATTGGTCCAGCTGTGGTGATTTTGCTTTTCTTTACATTGAAGTCTAATTCATACTGAAGGCTGTAATATTCATTAGTAAGTTTTCAAGTCTTCTTCACTTCCAGCAAATAAGGTTGTGTTGACATATCTCAGGTTGTTAATGAGTCATCTGTCAATCTTGTTGCCACGTTCTTCTCATATAATCCATCTTCTCAGATTATTTGCTCAATATACAGATTGAATAGGCATGGTGAAAGAATACAGCCTGGGTACACACCTTCCCTGATTTTAAACTTCCCTGATGCACTATGCCCTTGTTTTGTTCTTACAACTGCCTCTTGGTCTATGTACAAGTTCCTCATGAACACAATTAAGTGTTTTGGATACCTATTCTTCATAATATTATCCATACTTTGTTTTGGTCCACACTATCAGAGTATACTTTGTTATATGGTAAGCTCTTTATATAAAAAGTACAGTACAGTACATACATAAGCAAGTAACATAGGTATTTATTATGACTATCAAGGCACAAATATCATATGTTTTGTATGTACTATACCATTATATACAACATAATCATTTTGTATACAAGAGACATGAGATAAGTGTTGCATGCAGGAAGCTATTGCATTTGATATGTCCCATGTTCTAATCAGGACTTCTGATCTCTATTATAACCTTACAGGACAATGGACATATACTGGTAGGAATTGCCTGGATGGGAATATGTGGCACGTGACTTTATTTTCAACAAGTAACTGTTGTAATAAGAGCACCAGACTATTATGCTTACAATTTATAGTCAGCAAACCAAGTTTTAGTCAAAGTTCCAAACTTTATTGTTTATTACCCACTAGTCCATTAGAAAGATTCCATTTATATAATAAAAAAATCAAAATATGACTTGCTGGTTCCAATAATTACTTTTCATTTTTTGAAAATCTCCTAAATTTGGAACTCAGCATGGAAAATCACTCTTGAGGTAATGATTTCTAGGTAATGTTTAACAAAATTACAATTTCCATCATACTATCCAGAATAATTGCCTACTGGATTCTGAATGGAAATAAAGAGATTATGACTGAGACTTGGCTCAGGAATAGTGACAACTTACTCTGCTCTTTAAAAACTGTTTCTTATGTAGAGTCTGTTCTCAAAACCAGATTTAAATAATATTTTCCAGTCATAAATCTGGATTGCCAATTTCATCTTTTCTCTTCAGGTCACACTTTCTAATAAAAAAACTCTTCCTTTTAAAAAACAGGAATATATATGCTACTAATTGTAGCTCAATATATTTATGAGATTCCATATAGGTGTGGTGCTGTAGGGTAAGCATTGGATGGCTACTTGAAAGATCGGTGGTTCAAACCCACTAGCCACTCTTCAGAAACCCTATATAGGGTCATTATGAGTCAGAATGGATTGACAGCATATAACAACAACAGGCACGCCTTGGACACTCTATACAATGTCACTATGACACATATGTGTATATGCCTTTTCTCGTCTCCTCTGGGACTTTCATGAAACATGTGTCTCTCTATATATATCACCTACACTCCTCAGAAACCCTACACAGGGCAGCTATGAGTTGGAACCGACTTGACAGCACGTAACAACAACATGGTAATAGCTTTAATTACCCTAGCCAAAAGGTGGAAATAACCCAAGTATTTATCAGTAAATGAACACCTAAGGATTTTATGATATTTAAACTCAATGGAATATTATTCACCCATAAAAGTGAACAAAATTTTGACAATGTTATTGAATGTACCTTGAAAACATTACTCCAAGTAAAACAATCCAGAGACGGGGGGAAAGTACTGTATTATTCTACTTATATGAAATATATAGAATAGACAAATTCAGAGACAAGAAGTAAGTAAGAAGTTCAAGGGACTGGGAAGAATGGAGTTATTGATTAATGAGTACAGAGTTATTATTTGGGGAGATAAAAAAGTTTTAGAAGTAATGGTGATGGTTATACAACACTGAATTATACAATTAAAAGTGCTTAAAATAACTAATTTTATGCTAGGCATATTTTACCACAACAGAAAATGGCATATAAACCTCTCTCTTTTGAGTTAAGTCTAGAACTGTTACTATTAATTAGAACAGTAAAATAAATTACCTTATCACCAGTGCTTCCAGTCATTCCAACTTCTCCAGATAAACCCACAGGTCCCTTTTAGAAAAAAAACAAATATATATATATAACAGAAAACACATATATATTGCTTTGCTATTCTAGAATCCTGGTCTTCGATCACATGCAATCATTATGCTATATATTAACTTGGAGTCAAATTCCTGCACTTCACATTAGAATTTATTAATCTATTCAGTCATCAACAAATATGCTTGTACAAGTGTGTAACATGTGATAGGAATTATAGTAGGAGACACTGAGTTTCAAATGATGGAGAAATCCAAACATTGTCTATCTTCATGGAGTTTACAAATGAGTGAACATTTTTAAAAGACATATAGTTTTCATAGCTATATATAGTTGATGTGGACACATTAGTTTAAGAAATAATTTCTGAAGGTGACTTCCTTCAATGAAAGCACCTCAATACATGAGCGAACAGCAAATTTCATTCATTCACAGAAACATTAACAGTTGTGCAGAATGAACAAAGCTTAGGGTTTATCTACATTAATCTTTATGGGTTCTCTATTATTTCTCCTTTAAGTGGTATAGAAAGGCAAAGGAACAATATAGAATAAGCTTGATAACAAGAGCATAGCCCTTCAACCTTCCTTCCTCTTGACTGTCTCCAGGTAGAAGACGTTTCTTTTCTATTTTATTTAAAGATGGGGAGGCATTTAATTTTTTAATAGCTATCAATCTAAGACCTTGTTTGCTGTTATCAGTTCCAACTCATAGCTACCAGGACAAAATACCACACGATCTTGTGCTATCCTCACAATTGTTGCTATGTTTGTGCGTGTTGTTACAACCACTGTGTCCATTCACCTCCTTTTCCCTCCAACTAACTATACCAAGCATGATGTCCTTTTGCAGGAACTGGTCTCTCTTGATAATACGTCCTAATTACATGAGATTAAATCTTACCATTTTTCTGCTTTTGCATGCATATGAGGCTACTGAAAACAGCATGGCCTGGGTTGTTGTTGGTATGTGCTATTGAACTGGTTCCGACCCTGTACAGGGTTTTAGAGGAGTGGCTGGTGGGTTAGAAGTCCAGTGTTTATCCTACAGCATCACACCTGAATTCCATGGCATGGGTGGCTGTTGCTAAATGATGTTGAATTGGTACCTGATTCATAGCAACCTTGTATAGGGGTTCCGAGACTATAAATTTTTGTTAGAAGAGAAAGCCTCATCTGTCTCCATTGTAGCAGTTGGTGCACTCAAAAGAGTTAACAGCCCAGTACTTATTCTACAGAACCACCATGCTGCACCTTAGTCCTCAAAGTGACACCTTTGCTTTATAACACTTCAAAGAGATCTTTTTTAGCAGCAAATTTACTAAATGCAATACACTGTTTGATTTATTGACTGTTGCTTTTATGAGTGCTGATTATGAATCTAAGTAAAATGAAAGACTTTGCTTTAATGTATATATATAAGAATCTGTTAGCTAACTCCATCTGTTTATATTTCTGTTAAGCAGCACTAGATAACTAGTTACCTGATGCTACTCAAGCAAATATCTCAAATGCGGAAGTGGCTTTGGAATTAAGTAATGGGTACAAGCTAGAGGAATTTTAAGGTGTCTAATATTAAAAGGCTGGTGTGGCACTTCAGGATAAACACTGAACTGCTAACCACAAAGTTGGAAGTTCAAACTCACTAGCTGCTCCTTGGACATTCTATACAGGGTTGCTATGAGTTAGAAGTGACTTGATGGCTCTCAACAACAACAAAAACAACAATATTAAAAGCCTAGATTAGAAAAATTATTTGATGGTTACCTGGGTTGGGGCGGTGGGGAGAGTAATTCACTGACTAGAGAGCTGTTGTTGTTAAGTGTCCTCAAGCTGTTTCTGACTCAGACACATTAACTCTGGTGACAGGGAAGACAATATACAAGAAAAGAGAAGTTGGCAGAAGAAGGATGAAGACAGATACAGACACAAGGAGGTATGCAAGGACTAAAGGGGAAAAAGTTAACTAGTGTTACATATACAATCTTGGAACAACAGTGCTCTTCAGGTAGATACGTGGATAGATACATAGACTGAAGGTGTATAGAAGGAAGAGTGGAAGTATATCCATAAATATATAAGAGTTTGAAAGAGGATATTGGTACATGGATATTTACCTTTGCTGTAAACATACCTGTGAAAGGAATATACAGTGGGCAAAATGATGAAAACTTCTTAGATATTTCCAAGCACCTTAAGGCAATGAGTTGCTGGGCCAAAGGGACCAGGACCATAGATAGTCTCAGGGAACACCATGATCAGTTGACATAATATAGTTCACAAAGACAATGTTCTACATCCTACTTTGGTGAGTAGAATCAGGGATCTTAAAAGCTCATGAATGGCCATCTGAGTTCAACTATTGGTCTCTCCATGTGCAGAAGAAAGAATGATGAGAATTGAAGATGCTTGGAATCAATTAGTCCAATGGACTAATGGAACATGTGAATATCAGTATCCATGAATTTTAGACCAGAGGTGCCCATCTACCTCTACCGATTACTCATAAAGAAATTACATTCGGAGGTCCAGGATAGAGTGGCTGAAAATGTGAAACAAAATGCAAACTAATCTAAAAAAAAAAGACAAGGTCAAAAAGAGAGTGGAGAAAGTCTACACTATGGCCCTCAATGACCCTTCAGGTCTTGAATGGAACTTACCCTTGTGGCCCAACTTTCAGTCAAGCAGTAGATAGGTATATAGGGGGAACAATAACTCTAGTAAGATAAGCTCACCATGGAATGGTCAATCATTCAATATCAAAAGGGCAACATTTACCTAAGGACAAAATTGAAAAGGGATTGGGAGGTGTGTGGAAATTGGAACGTAGGTGGAAATAATGGGGAAACTGTTGTTGAATGGAGGGGATTGCAATCATTGAGATGAAACAAAATGTATGATTTGCAAAATGTGAAACTGATGATCTTGTCTGTAAACCTTCACTCAATTCACAATAAAAAAGTTTTCAAAAATCTTAGATTGCTTTGAAGAGAGTATTTGTAGAATTATGGATGTCAATTCTGATGAGGGCTCAGAAAGAAGTAATAAGAGCTATACATAAAATCTCTATTGTTTTAGAAAATATATATAACAGAATGTTGCTAGAAACATGAGTGTTAAATGTGCTCCTGGTGAAGCTTTAAAAGAAAATGATGAACATGGAGGAAAGGCAATGTTTTTAATGTAGTGACAAAGATCTTGTCTTAATTATGTTCAAATGTTTGGTGGAAGGTAAAACTTGTTAAGTGAGGAACTTAGATAGCTGACTGAGATTTCTAAGCAAGACCTTAAATGGACCATGTGGTTTCTTCTTGTCACAATATGAAAGAGATGGACTTTAGAAATGAACTGTGAAAAACTAAAACAAAACTTGAAGATTTGGAAAATTCTGTTCACAAAGTAAGGACATGTGTCTTCCCCACAAATGTGGCTACACAATCTTTTGTTAAAAAAATTCAGCTTGTGACTAATGTAATTAACCAACTACCACAGCAGAAAATCCATCAGCTTAGATTTAAGCAGACCGAGAAAGAATGAAAGGAGAAAACCTGTCTGATTTGGAATTCTTCAGGAGTGTATTTGTTATGCTCCATGAAAAGAGAAGAAGTATCTCTGGAGCAAGTCAGAGATCAGCAGAAGTACTGGAAGGAGCACAGGAAGCAGAGCTACAATGATCTCAAAGGATGGAACCATGATCTCTGGGTGACAAAGAGTGGGGTCATGGGCTATGGTAAGGACCCTCCTCCCAGAATGCATGGAATGTGGTCAACTTCCAGAGTCTGGAGGACAGAGTCATTATGGTTTTAGAGAATAAAGCATTATTTTCAAGTCTTGAGAGCTATGGTAATATGTTCTGCTGGATTTGGGACCTGTTTGGTGCCCAATATCCCTTTTATACCTGCAATTTGTCACATTTGTAATGAAAATGTCTAACTTGTGCTTGTTCTGCCATTGTACTTTAAAAACGGATAGGTTGTATTCTAGATTTCACAGGTTCACAGATGAAGGGATTTTGCCCTAAAATAGACTACACCCATATTTGATTTAGATAATTCAGAAGATGAGGTTTTTTGGATTTGGAGTTCAGACTTTGGAAATAAGGTGTTGTGATAATGTGCTGATGACTGTGTTTTGCATATGGCAGCAATGACATGAATTTTGGGGGCCAAATGGTGAAGTGTTATGGATTGAATTGTATCCCCCAAAATACATGTTGTAAATCCTGATATCTATGCTTGTGCCTATAATCCCATTAGAGAATCAGTTGTCTTTAACATGTTAATAAGGCAGGATTAGTACAGGCTGTAATATTAGTCTAACTCTTTTGAGATATAGAAAAGATATAAACAAGCAAGTTAGCTAGCAGGATGTGGGAAGAGAGATGCTAAACTGTATGAAGATTGCCCAGGATCAGCAGGCCAAAGGAACCAGGACCTTCTTCCAGAGTTGACAGAATGAAAGCCTTCCCCTAGAGCCTGTGACTCCTAATCTGTGAGAAAATAAATGTCTGTTTGCTAAAGCCACCCATTTGTGTTACTTCTATTGTAGTAGCACTAGGTACCTAAGACTGTTTGCCAAGGGTTAGGAGTGTGTAGGTGAGAAGGTAGAAAAAAAAAAAATACTTCAAGAAGTTTGACAGCAAAACAGGGAAGACAGTAACTACTATGGAAATAGTTTATAAATGAAATAATTCAGAACTTAATTTTTGCACTGTTCACTTGTGGTATATTGGATTATTTAATATATCTTTTAGCCTTAGTCCTTATAATGCCCACCAAAGGATTTTATTCTGATGGGTTTGGATAAGAAAAGGTTGGAGAAAATACTAATAGGATGACATGATTCAGCTGATGGAGCTAGCAGTTGTTTGTAATTGTAAAAATTTGAAACTCTAGAAAGGTACAGGGTGAGCCATCTCAGAAGCAGGAGGGGGAATCCTACTACTATCAAAGAAGAGAAGTCAGGAGTGAAGCATGTCTTTGGACCCAGAGATCACTGTGTATTGAACCA